TGAAATCTAAACTTCCATACTATTTTTACTCTCAGATTAGAAGATGTAACTTCTATTGACTAGACTGTATGCAAAAACTTTCATGAAAAATCCAGTCCTGTGTATGTTACAAAAGCTCTCCCTTGCCCAAGATATTTTTGTGTCCACTCTTACAGCACAACCACTAAAACAGGTCGTAAGCACACTTCCAGTAAGATCAAATAGAAGCAAGAAACTTCATCTCCCATTGACATACGATTACAAAAAGTCATATTCACTTACACAACTGCATTCTACACTGAAATACTACACACTCTGCAGGGGCATGTTTTTTATAACATGCTTTTGTTAAGAACTTTTCATATCTTGAAGTTTAGTATTCCTAAGCAAATGTGGCATAACAAAGTTGGCAGTATCGTAACTAAAACCAGTTATTTATATACCTAACTGGCTCCTGCCAAGTAGAGAGACCTTTAAGAGCAGGAGGAGATTCTTCCCACCTGGAAGAGATTTTGGTCATCTTAAGTAAAACTTTCTGAACACACTGTCATACCTACACCCACAACATTTTTCTTCACTAAGAATCAACATCTGAACTCGTTAAAAAGGAGGCAGCCTAGCTGTCACTTGCAGACCTTTTGTCCTACAGGACCACGGCATCTTCCATGACCAGAGAAAGATACTCAAAGGACAAATAGACTGGTGGAAAACTAAGGATTTAAACCAATCTGCTTCATTTTTCTGATGCACAAACTAATTATGAATAGCTGAATATTAAATGAGTTCAGGTTTTAATGTAGTCTCTCTCTTCCTCATGTTTAGTTCAGTCCATACTCAACACTACATGTATTAAATTATGGAAAGTTTCTACTGAACTGCTAATTTTTCACCATTTCTAGCTCAGTTTGACTAGGGTTAGGAGGAAATAATTTCTTGATCAAGAATCAACTTATTCCCCTCCCCCCCCCCAAAAAAAAAAAAAAAATCCCTTGACTAAGACAATTAGGCCAAGTATAAAATATTTACCATTGCAATGTAGCTGTAACTTAGAACAATCTCTCGAATTTTCCTCATCTCTTCTTCCAGATTGTTCGCCCATACTTCACAGATGACCTGGCTGTTCTCTGCAAGGGCTGCTGGCATTTTGCAGGGACCACAGTTAAGACAGCTGATGTTGAATTCAGATGACAGCGTAGAATGGCAAGCTGTGTGATCTTATCAGTGTGCTGCATTAAAACAGATAAATAAATAATGTTTTATATGAGGGAAGATCTACATATAAGACTGTTAGTCAGTCCCACTTCCATTTTCAGCTTCAAATAGCCCATTTAAAGTTCACACAAAGTTACTTCTTGCTTTTATCACCTCCTGTAAACATGTTGAAAGAGAAGAAAATCTAGAGCATCTGTTCCAGCTACAAGAGTGGATGCACAATTAACAGTCCAGTCATTTATGAAATGTCATTCTCCCTGTCTTTCTTCTTCTCCTGGCATAAGCTCTGAAACTTTGGGCATCAGATGTACAAGCAGGGAATGTTCATATTTAATGTTCAGCTACTGTGACAGCCTTTACCAACAGTAACAGAATAGGTTGCAGACTAAATTTATAGACAAAAGCTTCTCTGATATAATTCAGGGAAGCCTGAAGCACGGTATTTCAGCTTACACTAACGGCGGCTTCAGCAGTGCTACACCTAGGATAAACCACCGGTTGTTTACCATTTCCAGCAAAAACACGGGCAAAACAATGCCGGGTTTCTGCAAGCAGGGCTCAAGCGCTGGGACCGCCGGCCGGGCCCTGCACGCCGTTACCTGGGGCTGCCTGCGGCGGTCGGAGGGACTTAACCCGACCGCCACGGGGGGTGTGCCCCCTCCTCAGCCCGCCGACAAAGGCCCCGCTGCCTCAGGGCCAACATAATGTAACTCCCTGTGTAACATAGCTGCCAACACTTGCTTTGCTGGCTGATGCTGACTGCAGATACTGAATTTATTTGGAAGCTTGTCTACTAAGAAGTAAGCTTAGATAGTATTTCCTTTCTTCTGGATTGCCTTCTGGACAGGGTTGCATCTGTTATAAAATACTGCAGTTCTAGTACTGCTACAGAGTTGTTATCTGCCCACCATTTGGGAGTCTCCTCTCACTGGATCTGGGCTGCTTGCCTACCATTTGGTTACAAGCATCTGGAAAAACAAATCTTGGTATCTTTGACACTTCAGACATAGTTCAGTGTCTCAGGTTTAATGTTCATAACTCAGCAGAAACAACTTTCAGAAAAGGAGAGGTTTTTCTGAGTACTGCTCTCTATCAAGTGAACTTGGTGCTGTCAGCATCATTGAATGTTATTTTGATTCAAAGTTTATCTTCATAGATGATAGTTACCATTTTGCCTTCTCAGCTCTGCCGTCTCTTGTGTTGCATAATTTATATATTATGCAATATGCTAGGTTGGCAGAAAGTAATCACCTTTCTTCCCATGGTCACTTGAGTCTGGGATTTTGTGCAAGAAAACTTACATTGTTAGCAGGTAAATATAGCAGGTTGGATTACGGCACTCTGTAGATACAAGGTTAGAAATTTTATTTTTCCTAAAGAGTTCAAAGTAAAATACATACGTAATTTTTCTTGTCGATAAACCCAGCGCATGAAGGTACGTTGAATCCAGGGAAAAAAAAGAGGATTAATCTTCTCAGGACACCAAAAATATGTCTGCCTTGCTACTTGAATAAAAACATATTGCAGGAAATAATCACTTGTGATATATTATGCTTGTGAATGTAGGGTTTTTTTTTAAAAAAAAGAAGCTACTCAAGGATGTTTACAAATATTAGTGGTAAGAGCTGGAAACATGTTTTGCTTAAGGAGATCAGAATTTAGGTTTTTGACCATGGCCGATAAAGATGAAGAATAGCTGGAAAAGGCACCCTGCTCTTTTAAAAAGTCCCATAGTTCTCATATTTGGAAGTTAACAAACTTTCTTCTGGGTCCAGCATTCCAAAGCAGGTTCTTGAAGAGTCCTCACACCCTCTATATGGTTCTGTTAAGACCACAGTAACAAAACAGTTTGTGTAGACCTACTACACCATAAGGTGGAATAAAGGGTGGAATAACGAGCTTCAGATCAACATTTTCACGTGTCAGCTTGAGCTCTATGTCCTGGATCATGCCCTGTTGAAACGGTTGTGCATTTCCTTTAGAGCTTGGTACCACCACCACAAGTGGTAGAAAATTTACTTACAGAAATCTTAAAACATGAATTGAGAGTTAAAAGATGCAACTGTTGCTGAACGTGTTTGAACTGTAACAGCAAGGCCATCATTTACATTTTCCTAGCCCTTCCATTGCCCCACAGATGTTTCCAAACTACCACCGCAGTAGTAAGTGGTGGCACACGTGTGCCCTGGCAGGTGGCTGGAAATATGCAGGAAATATTCAGAATGCAGGGAATTATTGATTAGGTGACGCGCGCCAAGTTCAGATTCCTCTTCAACATTGGAGGAAATAGCAACGTGGGTTTGTACAATCCTGAAGGATAATTCATAGTTTTTCTCCTTACGTTTCTTTTCAGACAGTGAAACAGTGACTATTACAAAAACTGTGGGGAGTGAACAAAGAGAAGTTATTTTATGAAGTGTCTGATCAAAAAGCCTTTCTGCTAAGATGAAATCAGGCTTCTTACATGGGTCAGCAAAGATTGCATGAACGCTGGAGTGTCTGTGGTGAGCACACCAGTGCAGGGCACAGGCTAGCCAACAGACAGAAGCCACTTCTAGATTACTGCCAGCCAGCGCTAGACACAGACTTGAGGCAGAAGGTAAATTATATTTACATCCTTATGACTAACATGCTGAGCTGTCTGTTGCTGATGGGTATAAATATTTCAGAGATAACCTGTGTCAGATTGAACTGTGGTTAAAAAGAAACACTGAAGACTGTGAAATTCACTGGTTCACCACCTGGTTTTGGCTAGTGGGTGAACAGTCCTCCCAGTACAAGCTCAAGTCCAAATAAAGATCAGCTGAGGACAGCACTCATATGGCACTCCTCTCTTGAAATGCCAATTTTCACTTCCTCCTCTGCATGTGTGTAAATAATTTGAAGGAATCACATTCCTCCCTGTTGAGTCTGCTGTCTTTGATAAATAACAATTAGCAGCAACAGCTAAGAATTACAGACTTTTTCCCCAACAGGAAATAGTTTGGATTAGTCAAGAGAAAGTGTCAATGAAAACACAGCCTTAAACCTGAAATGAAGCCACAGTGAATGTTTATTGCACTAAGAGGACAAACAGCGTGAGGTTGGGAGGGGAGTCCTGGCAATATTCTTCCAGAAAAAAGTTAATTGATAAAAATAAAGATGCAGTAGTAGGTACAAGAAACCAGGCGCAGACAATGAGGCACCACTATTATCCACCATTGCAGATCTCTCTGCAGCTCTAGCTGCTGCCAGCTTGAGATGTTGCTTACCGGACAAGAGCGTGTGTTGCTTCACCTGTGAACGGCCATACTGTGAGGCAGAGGTTTTTCCTCATGTGGAAATATAAATCTGGGAAGTTATGGCGAGTAACACCCTCAGTTCTCAGAGCTTAGTCCATAACATGGAACTGTCTATTAGGTAAGCAACATAGATTGGGGCCACATTTGCATAATAATGACCAATGTTACTGCAAATCACATCTCACTCTCTGCAATACCATAATTACAGACTTTATGGTCTGTAAACAGCATCTTTAAAGACAACTGAGACCAAGCACATTCTAACCTATTTGCATCTTGTCCTTACAGATGGAACCAATACCTGTAACTGGTTGAGGGCACTATGTAGCAACAGTCAGTGTTGGTGTAATTTATAGACTTAGTACAACACAGTGAAAACTGGACTGCTGTTTTTTTACCAAATTGCACAGTAACCCTGACTGCTTTTAACAAATACACCTTTGACCCATTCACTTGCACTGGCACTAGCTATTTTGTACTCAAAAAATGAGTTGGTGCATTATAAAAACTACTTACCTTTAAGGTGTAGGTGGCTTTTTTACCCTCAGATACAGCCGTTAACTCTTGATGAAAAACTCTTACCTGCAGAGATGTATTCCAGGCTCTTGACTGAGTGACAGCATGCGCATATGCACAGGGAACGCTGCCAGTACTAACAGTGACATGGCACTGGCTTCACATGACTTGTCTGGGAGGGGACGGCCAGCTCCTGCTTGGAAACACCCCTCTCTCCTTGCCCAAACCCTCATAAAGTTTCCACAGCAGTAGTGAAAGGTGAGGAGTTGAACTCTGGGCTCTGAATAGACACAAAGGACCTCTCCTAGGCTACCATCAGCAGGAGGTGAGCACAGAATGGGCAGCCAGAGTTCAGGGGTGTAGCAGCTTGAAAAGATGATAGAAACTTTGAGGAAATCATTAAAAGGCAACGTCATGTGTCTGTGTAAAGCACGACTGTAAGATTTTTTTTAGGAACTGTGGTTGCCTTTAGATCTGTGCAGTGCTTGGCACAGTAGGACATCCCCCAAACACGACATCTACTCCCGTGTCTGTCCACATAGTGTGGCTGATATGCAACTTTCTGGGTGACCAGGTAAGTTGTCCTTATGTTTTCCTTTCTATACTTTCATGGATAGTCATAGCCTTTTTTCTCTCAGGCACAGTTATCTTCTGCTGTCTATGCACTGTATAGGTTGATTCCAGAGAAATAAGGTCTACTACACAAGATTCAAGCAGGAGGGAAAAAGGAGTACTGTGGAACAGCGGTAGGCAGCCGGTCCGTCACAGCAGACGTACCCTGTTCCTCAGCTGTGCCTGTCAGCAGCAGGGCTCTGCCTGGTGTTGGAACAAGGATGCAATCCTGGGTACAACACTGGGTGCCAAACAAGGAGAAGCGGGCACTGTGCAGCCTCAGCTTGGGACTGTCTGGGCAGCAGAAATGTTAGGGGACAGCAGGGATGGGACACAAATAAGAATGTAAACGTTGAAACAGACATAAAAAAATATAGCAGTTCTTTCCTTTTCAGATTTTGTTGAGCATTTTAAAACATGACTCAGACAAACTAGCTTTTTCTGATACCTGAAGTGGAAAATTTGGTGAAAACAGATGTGACTTAATGAACAGTTACTGGACAAATGATGAAGTACATGGAAAAAATAATTTTAAAAAGAAGTATTAGAATTCTTTATTGACTAGCGTATGTTTCCCCTTTAATTTCAAGAGACTGACTGGAAAAATAATTACTTTCAGGCTTGTGAATTTGGTTTGGAACATTCGGTGTTAACTAATTTGAAATAACTAAAAAGGAACTTCTTTTTAAACAGCACCATTTCTAGCCAATATTTGGAAATAGCTGCAGGCAGCCGGGATCTTCACTGGTTGATTTGGGGCTGTATAACTTGCCAACATGAGATCAGTGCCAAGCAGTTGAATGGCTTTTTTGTTTGCCGAAATAGCCATGGTTACACAAATGCTTTTTTAATGTATTTGGTGTATTCTGAATCAGAAGAGATGTTATCCAACAAAAAAAGAGTAGGTAATGAGGTGTTGGGGAAAACCTAATCCATCACAATTTATCTTGTTTTAATGTAAATAATGTAAAATTTTGTCCTGTAAATGTGATAATGAAGGTAGTGTACTGAGATTTTGGGGAGAGGGAGGGTAAGCAGGCATGGCAGTACTGTTTTGACCTGGAAGTCTTTGTCCAAGCAAGACTTGTATCATAATTGGATTATTTTAAAAGGACTACTACTAGAAGCATGATTATAGTTTTAACTCTTGCCTCTTGAGACTCAATCAAGCAATGGCTTTCTCCTCCTAAAAACTCTAAGCAGAGTCACATTTTCTGCTGTGCTCTGCTTTCTAGCTCTTTGCATGCTAAGATTGAGCAGGGTTTGACGCAGCACTGCTATACGGAGCAACCATTCTGGAGCATCAGCCTTCCAGCAAGCAGCTAACTGAGACAGCCCACTTATGTGTGCCTCTCGGAGATCTAATGTTGTCTACTACAAGGTCAGAGTAGAATAATCTCTCTAACCACAGAAAACTATGGCAAACACTGTTTACTGCACTGCCCTATATTGCTGTTTTCAGCTCCCTACTGGGTGGTTACAGAGAAGACAGGGAAGAGCTCAACAAAAGGGCAAGGGATTTGAGTTATAACAAGGGAAATTCTGATTAGGTACTAGTAGGGAAAAAAATTACAGTGAAGGCAGTCAAATACTGGAACAGATTTCCCAGAGAAGCTGTGGAATGTCCTTCCACGCAGATACTCAAAACTGTTCAAGGCTCCTAACAACCTGCTAAGAAAGTTGGAATGGAGGAAAGTCTCAAAAAGGAATGGATTATTCAAGCTTGACATGTTGCGAGTATTAGTAGTGTTTTCTTGTAGAGAGTGGGCACACCTGCCCTGAGAGGACCTGTGTGACAAGATGGGCATATAGTGCATGTTACATAAGATAAAATGCATCATTGTGATCAGAAGGTCTTTTGGAAACAAAGATAAGATCAATTTGTCCTGTGGCAAGTTATTTACACTCTTCTATTCAGGCTAGCAGGTTATTTGTGATTGCTAGTTACAGGTATTCTTCATCACATAGATATGTTAGTCCATCTATATTTTTTCAGTAAGGTTGTGGTTGGTAAACTTAATATATCTGAGGAAATAAAACATATGGAAGATCTTGTAGGCTGACTTTAGTAGCCCACAAAGTCTAGAGCGAAGAGCTCTAGATGTGGGGAAAGACAAGAAGTCCTAGGACACTGCGACTTCCTTAAAACATTCTCATTTTAAGCAATAGCACCTTAGGGCACCACTCATACTACTCTTTTTGGCCAAGAGAGACAAAGTTAACTTGTTTATTTTTTTTAAGGCTGTTACCAAAAGTTAGCATTTCCCATAGGAGTACATACAGCCCTAGTGTCGAAACAGGGGGATGGGAGTTTGGGGGCATGGTTTCAAGTTTCATATCACTTTTTGCCTGATTTTTTTTTTTTTTTTTCCTTCTCAGAACTATTTGACATCAGTTTCTTCTAGTAAAGTATGTAGTTTGGGGGTCTGGCCTTGTCCTTTTCTGTCCATGAGTAAGCAGGAACAAGGTGTCCAGTTTTTCTGACTCTTGTTCTTCACCTGCATACTAACAGGTAACATACAGAAACAGAGCTGGAAACACCTGTAAATAAACAGACTTGCATTTATAAGCTATCATTTCAAAGCTAAAATATAACCTCCTGGCTAACATGGAGACTTCTTTTTGGCAGTATATTCTTCCTTTTTGAAACGCTGCAAGAGTACTCCCAAGAGGCTTGCAACCATCATAAAGGTAATAGAATATTATCTTTCTAATGAATAATTTTCCAGCTGTTTTTCTTTGTATGTGCTTTTCTGCTTTCTTTGTGCTTTCGTTTGTTAACTTGGGTAACACAGTTTGCCTGTGCTTAAATATTCTTCTGAATAGGAAAATCAGGATGGATTAAATTCTACATTCCTCAGTAATCTGGATTTCATACTATTAGTATTTGTGTGTTTGTTCTTCAAGACTAGGTGAAACCAAGAAAACCTGAAGGAATGTTTTGTTAGCTTTTGCTAATTATAATTTATGGTAAGAGTGCAGCAATATAAAAACAGCTATGCAATAATCCTTAGGACAGCCACAACACGTCCTGAAATACACACAGATCTTTTCATGGCCACAGGCAGCTGTGAAGCCCTAACAGCTACTTAAACTTGGGCTTGATTTTTTTTTTTTTTTTTTTTTTTTTTTTTTTTTTTTTTTTTTTACCAAAACCATCAAGAAATGGTCAATGTAGAGCCAAATGCAGGGAAATTTATTACAAGGTGGCCACCTGTCCATTTAGGACTTTAAACCCTCAGACTGACCATAGCTGGACTTGAAGCAATGATGATTTTCTCACCATGTGTTTAAGCTGTAACTTACAGTTCCTCTGCCACGTGAGTGAAGGCTGTGTGGGGCTCTACTGTGTTAATTCTTCATGGCACAAACTCACTTTGTTGTAGTCAGATTTTTGTTTTCATCCTTGTTAGTTTAACAGCATGTCATCATTAAGGAAAAGCGCATGTCCCCTGTCATCCTTCCCTTGCAGCCTGGGGAGGGTTGAGTTCCTGCTGGGTGTAATGTATTCCTGGGCCAGATTAAGGGTGGCAGCTGTGCCACAACACACCAGCACCACAATCAAAAGCTTTGCTTTTGGCTGTTCTCCCATTTTTGCTACTCTTGCATCCCTGTTAGTCTTCTGGAACAATATTCACTCATCAGGAAACAAGGGGATTTTTCTTCTCAAGAGCACGGCTTTGCTCCATAGTCAACATGAAGGAGGGAGCAGGACAGGACAGAGCACAGAGAGTAAATATTTTATAGTTTTGCAGCTGAACTCGAAGTTGAGGGGATTTGCTATTGTCAGCTGTGTATTCTTCCACTCTCCAGCTATACCAGATTCACTTATGTAGATCACCTTTTATTTCAGATGAAGGGAGACTCGGGATATTCCACCTCAGCGGAGCAGCAGAAGCAGGTAAAGAATCATCTTTTATAAGAAGCATTATGCAGGTGCTTTGGAAGGCTGGATGTGTTGAATCATCTTCTAAGTGACAAACACATCCACGCTCTTATCACTTTAGCACAACTAGGAACTCATCTCTTATCACTACACCAATATTTTCCCAGCATTTTTCCCTTCCTGTGGACTGCAGCTAAAGCACCAAGGACCTGTTATCTCTGCTTGCGTGGCAAGAGACCACAACACTCCCCTGTAACCAAAAGCTGTGCCACCTAACTGGGCCCAGTCCTCAAAGTGGTCCTGATTAATGCTATGTTTCCCAGCTGATGTGCCCCAGTCTCTTTACCTTGCAGGCAGCAGCCCTGTTCCACACTTCAGGAATTTGCCAACTTGTACGAGCCCTTTAAGGGCAAGATCTCAAGCAATCCATGGATCAGAGTTTGGAAACTACTGTGCTGGAGCTGTCGGCATGAAGAGAAACAGGGTGTTAGCACTTGGACTTGATGAACAAGATTTTTTTTTTTCTATGTAAACTTCTCTGCTTCTACAGCTCCTGTAATTATACTGTGTGGGATTCATTCACGTAATCACGTGCAGTAAAAACACAACCTCAAAACAAGATAGTTTCCAATCAAAGGGCTTTTAAAATAGCTGAAGTACTGAGCTTTAGGTACTCTCCTGTCTCAAAACAGGACATACACAGTATCTGATGAGTATTAGGAGTTGCTAGTTTTTGAAACTCCTGAGTTCTTCAGCTGGAAAATGCTAAAAAATCTGAAATGCTTTTTGGTCTAACTAAAAATTCTGACACTTGTAAGATATCAGAGTTTTTCTTTGATACGTTCTTCCTTCATCCCAGGAGAAAGGAGGTTTTATAGGATATGATTCTGTTAAAAATCTTTTTAACAGAAGCTTTAAGCTCTTTATGGCTTTTGTTACCTTTTTACGGAAGAGTATGTAGATGGTGTTCCAGGGTCTAAAGATTAAGAAAGTCTTATGTCAGTATATGTGAGGCATAACATGGATGTAATTGGAAGTATGAAACTGCTAAGAGAGCAAATCTCCAGCCCAGAACCCAGCCTGCACTATCTGAAGCTGGAATAGGTGGCTTTTGCCAGCCTTGCATTTGTCGTTCAGTACACCCAGTGATAATGCCAGCAACTGTGTTGCTTCTAATATAAACCTATAGGGTTCACAAACATCAAGCTGTAGGGCAAGAGTCCTTTAAATTACTTCCTCCCCAGCTGCTAAGTTGATTAAAAAAAAAAAAAAGAGAGAGATGATAGGAGGAAACAGTTGTTTGTTTTAATAAGGAAAGTTTCAGTGCTAATGAGCAAAGTTCTGTCTTGGGACAGATAAATATTGCTGACAAGTCCTGGGCAATGTTTAATGTTCTGTAGCTGTTACAGAATCTTAAAGACGCTCTTAGCACTGAAAGCTGTGTAGAGAGGATTCCTCTATATTGCATTACCCTAAACACACCTGCATTCAACATTTATTAGTGTGCTGTCACTCTTGTTTGTCCTCTCTGACAGGAGACAAGAGGACAGCGACTATGAATCATGCTATTTTTACTCCAGTTTGTTTGTTCAGCACACCACCACAGTTAAAAAACAGGAAGGACAGAGCAATGAACAAGACACTAGCTGGTTATTACACTGTATTATTTTGGAATTGCATTGATTATTTTTTTAAGCCTGTATCCTGCAGATAAATATATATAATGCATATTCACCCAAGAAAACCCAAACTAAGATTGCTGAACTCCAGAACCAATTCCAACTTGGGTTACCCTAAAGACAGATAGTTAATTATACATTTGACATATATTTGGTGAACAACTCTGGTTTTAATAATCAAATGCTCAAATATATTGAATACTGCATTTTGAATATACTTATTCCTAGAATCAAAAGGTCCCACTGGTAATTTTCGTACTCTCTTGTAGTTGTTTTATGTCGTTTAAATCCTTACTCTGGTAAGAGAGTCACACTAACATCACAGGTGCCCTTATGCTGTACATGGAATATGTCTTCAGTAGATAATATTTCTGTGACTGAAAGCAGGGATTTAGAGAACTTTACACTTTTGAGAAACTCCTTGTTAATGTGCAGTTGTTGTATACATATGACACATGGTACCTACTAGCCAAGCTGTACTCTCAGTACCACAGCTGAGTTGTACCTGTGATGGCTTAAAGGCACAGCAGAGAGAATTATGCAAGGAAAGGTAATATCCTGTACTAAACCTCTCTTATCCTGTATAACCTCTGGTCTGTACCCTTCGATAGCTTCTGGGCATGTGAGCCTGACTTCAGAATCAGTCTTCAAAGCAAAGAGGAAAGTTGAGAGGAGTGGTTCTGGATTAACTGGAGCTGTTAATCAGATCATGTGAGCACAGCAGTTCTTGACTGCTGTGGGGAGAAATCAGACTACATGCTGGCAGGGAGAAAATACTGAGGGAGGGAGAGGTTGAGATGGAGCACCATTTCATACCCCCAGGTCTTCCTTTCCTACTGCTCTGAGTTATCCAGAAGCCCCTTAAGTTATAGTTCTCCAGGTACCAAGAAGCATGCCAAAAAAAAACCAAAACAAACCCCAAACCAAAGGGAAGTCCTTTCCCTTTGGTTATTCCAGAGAAATTCCATGTCAGTGACACTTCAGGTCTCTGGTAAGCACGGCAGGTGGATGTGTGTGTGTACTCTCCCCCTCAATTACACACAATGTCCTGTAACAGCTTTGTTATTATGTTCTTTACAGAGTTTGTGAAACAAAACAGGCCATCTTAGAACTACCTTTACCTCCTGCATTTCAAATACAAAACCAGCAAGTGTAGGGCGCAGCAGCACATGCTGACTTGTTTTTTGCTCACAGGAAGAGAAACTCTGGGATGCCCTGAAAATCACTGCCCACGTCCTTGGTACAGGCCTGCTTATATTCACTGCCTTGGTGAACTCTGTTGCTGGGTAAGATTGTTCAAAAAAAGGGGCTTGAGGAGAAACTTTTCTGTGGAGAAGGGAAAAAACGGATGCTGAAAAGATGGGCAATCAAAAACGCTTATTCCTACAGGTATGTGCAGAATATCTGGGACACTTTAGGCTATTTCTGGCAAACATCATGGCTAAACTTCTACTACATGTTTGAGGGAAAGGAGTGGACAATCTTCCTCCTTGGTGAGTTTTAACAGCTCTGCTGTAGGAGGAACCATCATATATTACATCTAAAAGGGGACATGGACATGCCTTCCCAAACTCACTAATCCTCCCACCAAAAAAAACATGTGTAGGCTTTTTGCCTATGAAGTGCAGCTGTGCTGCCTGTGGACTGGTTCAGCATTAGACCCCCTATACAGATTAAAAATTTAATCTTTTTGCTGCTGCTGAAGTGGCTTCCCTGCAAAGACACTTTGCTCCTGTGAGAACTGAATGACTCAGTAAAACTAATTACTGAAAATTCGTGAAGTTAGTGAATTTTACTCTTGCTGTAGCACCTATAAATCTCTTCTCTGTCTGTGATTAACAGCTGGTAAACAAGCCTGGTAGAGACCTTGCAAGGTCCAAGGGATCAGCTCAAACTTATCCTACTTGTATTTAAAACCCACCCATGACAGAGATCCAGCAGCCTCCCAGAAAAGCCCTTTGTTAGCCTCACTTGTGGCAAGTTTTAACCTACAAGACATCTGTCTATTCTAACCTCCTCCCCATTCCCCAGGTCTTACCTGGAGGTCAGAACTTACCCGTATTCCTTTTTAAAGCATCTCAGGGCAGGGGATACACACCTAACACATCTGGGTCCCAGCAAGGTCGTCTCTATGCCAGTGTATCCTGTTTCTGATTTAGCCATAGCTCTCAGTTTATTCACACATCTCTGCTCTCTCCTCACACCACAGGGGCTGCATTGGTGCCTGGCCTGGCTTTCTGGGGCTTCAATGGAATCCTTATGGTGGCTGATGTAACAGGAAAGCCAACTTTCATTACTCGCTATCGCATTCAGCTGGGCAAGAATGATCCTGTAAGTATTTCTCACTCTGCCTCTTCTTCTGGCTAAACACTTCTTGCAGTCTCTTAGGCTAGGAGCAGGGAGAAGAACCTGTTATGCCTTCCTCTTGCAACCAGATAGGATTTAAGGAGAATCAAGCTTAGTCTTGTATATCCACTGGAGGAAGGAAGGCAGTTCTTGTAATTAGGCTACTGATATGATCTGGATTGGCTGCTTGTTACAAAGTTGATCCCAAAACTAATATGGAAACTGCCTACAAATGTTAAAGCTCTTTAACCTTCCAACTCAAAGCTGTGTTGCTTCTGAGTTAACCTCGAGTCCTGACTTCTCTTTTGCAGGTGGACACAAAGAAATTGCGCCAAGCCATCTACACAGCACTGTGCAATCAGTTCTTTATCTCATTACCCATGCTTGTGCCCATGTTCTATGTCATGAAATGGTGGGGCAACACCTTCAGCAAGGAATTACCTACCTTCCGCTGGTTTCTTGTGGAACTAAGCATCTTCACCTTAATAGAGGAAATTCTCTTCTATTATACACACAGGTGAGCCAAGCACAGGAACAGGACTCCCTTGTTTTCCTCCATGCCTTTAAGCTTATACCTACGTCCTGCAACAGCACTAGTCCTAGATCCCCATCAGTCTTGTATCTATAAGGGAGGTCTCACAGGTCCTGAAATCCACGCTTACAACATGAGGCCTTGGTGCTGCCAGTAACTACAGTAAGCAAAAATGGGTAAAATTACAAAGGGGGAGCAGCTTAGAAGCTAGGGAAGAAACAATCCAGGTAGCTTTACACAAAAGCTGTGACCCAGTATTCTTTGAAAAAAGAAAAGAACACCACTAACTGTCCTGAAAGAAGAAAGCTCAAAATGTCAGTGACTGATCTCCCATTCACTTGTTGAGCACCCATGAAACAGGGCCTGGCTCCTGACTCTGCAGGCTTTCTAAGCACAGACACCAACGTTGAAGGAAAAAACTAAAGCAAGGAAGAAAAAAGCCTGCAAAAAACTGTGCAACAGCAAGCACAGCATTCTCAGAAATATGTAGGTTTCTCTTCTGGATGAATGCACACCAAAAATGTAAAAAACCATTTCTTACAAAGGACCCACAAAACCTGAAATTCTGACTCTAACAGCTGCCAGTAGGAAAAGTCAAAACAGTGAAAATATAAAGCAAGTCTTCCCCTAAGTAGTACTCCAAGGTTTGAGCAAATGAGTCATTCAGAGACTGATTTATGGGATTTATCTGGACTTAATATGTGCCAGCAGACACATCAATGGAGTAAGGGCTCAGCGCTAAAGAAAGAGAGAGAGGGAAGCCAGGAGTCCTGCACTGTTACTCCCAGCTGCTCTGAAATCTTTACATTAAAGAGGAGACATGAACGAGTCCCCAAAAGAAACTCTGCGTTATGTTACACTATGTTCTTTTCTCGTGGTGCTCAAAACCTGCCCTTCTCTGTTTTCTCTGCTTAGGTTTGTTCACCTCCCACTGCTGTATAAGCACATTCACAAGAAGCACCACGAGTGGACAGCCCCCATTGGTGTGGTCTCCATTTATGCTCACCCGGTAGAGCACATAGTAAGTGGATTCTCCCATGGTCCCTCTCTAGTTTCTGCATGGAGTGGAATTTCTGTGGGATGAGGAGGAGTGCTAAGAGGAGAAAAACAAATGCACCCTTAGACTCTTCTTTCATAGGAAGGGGAAGCTAAGCTGCATTGCCAAGAGGCTTGGCTGTAGTACCAGTTTATGTGGGACTCCGCAAGCTTCAAGAGCACAGATCCAAGGGCCTCCAGCAGATAAAGAACTGACTGAATGGTGCTTCCTTCAGCACAGAAAAGGCTGGGAGCACAGACTGTGCTTTCAGCAGATGTGACACTTGCACAGTCTGGGTTACTGCATGGACTCAGAATTCTGTCACGATTTTCATGCTGGTGGCTGGGATCAGTGTTTGCAGCAGTGTCTCCCAATGCTGCTCCAGCTGAGACTTATGAAAACCCATCCCACCTTCAGATTCCACTTATAAATACCATCTCCTGTTAACAATAGCCCTGGGCTGCAGCACTAGCTGACAATCTTTGGGCAGCAGAATGGCTTTTTATACTCAGGAGTCCAGCTAAGCCTAGCTGGTGCAGTAAGCTTGGTCTGGGCAGCGACAGCCATTTGTGCTGCTGGTAGGACACAATGAAGTGATGCAGCCGGGATCATCACATGGCTGCCTCGACTGCACGTGCCCCCAGGCCATGCCCTCTACAGCTGGGTTTCCCAAGAGCAGCTCCAGCATTATTCCAAGGTGAAGCTGAAATCCCGACCTCTGACACCAGGGAGATTTACTGGAATCACGCTGTCTGCACACCCCTGGTTTGATCTCTACAACAAGCTTAGAGAGCTTGGGCTGTGGCTATGTTTTGCAGGGAGTAAAACTCAAGGGTAAACCATTTCATTGATGATGATGTAATTTTAGTAAGGTGTTTGCAGAGATCTTCCCTTTTGCTGCTTGCACAAAACTAATGCGATATATCACCCCGGCGAAACAATTCAGCTCCTAGAGGAGAGTCTGCTCATTGTGGACCAATTAATGAGGTCGAGTTTGCTTCTCATTTCTAGCTCTCCAACACGCTGCCTGTCATGACTGGCCCGATGATCATGGGGTCTCACATTGTTTCCATTGCAGTGTGGTTCTCCCTCGCTCTCATAACCACAAGCATTTCACACTGCGGCTACCACCTGCCCTTCCTACCGTCGCCGGAGTTCCACGACTTCCACCACTTCAAGTATGTCTGGGCACTGCTCAGCTTGCCCTTCCCCTCCTGCCTGCGCCCGGGCACCGCCGACGGGCAAAGCTCCTTGCTGAGGGTGCAGCGGGTTTGCGTAACTCGGGCACATGCAGAGAAGCCTTTCCAGTTCGCCTGTGGCAGGCTGAGTGCTGTCAGTTCTTAAAGCACTTAAACAGAGATGGGGATTTCAGAGAACTCCACTGCCCCCACGGCTGCCTGACACCTCACTGACACCCACCCTCCTCCATCAGCTCACGTGGAAACTTTCTCCAAAGCACAGACACTGCAGCCGAGGCTGCGCATTTCAAGTTTCCCAAGATTACACGAGAAGAGAGCACATAGATTCTGTAGTAGCAGGTATCGCCCGGACTTTCCCTGGCACAAGCACAGGGTCAGAGGCAGTCCTCTGCAAGGCTCTTCCTAGAAATTTACAGGAAACTGCATGAGATCTAGAACAAAGACAGAGCAAGGGCAAGTCACCCAGCTGAAATAAATTTGCAGGGAGCCTCCCAGTCTGTCCCTCTCCCATACACTGGGATTAGTAACACTGATCAGATAACGCCTTGCCCAAACAATCGCAATTAACCCTTCCTGGCAGAGATTCCCATCCTCCTCCTGCACTGGAGAGAGCAGAGTTTCAGCAGGTCGTTCAGGGCCTATACGTACCACAGGAGTGGAAGAAGCTTTCCTGGCTCCCAGCTGTGCGCTGAATTCACACACGCTCCCCCAGACAGTTTGCCTCTCCTGCAGACACAGCCAGTGTGGCAGTTCTGTCGCCACCCGAACGCTGGGCAACACCCACACCAGGGTGCCAGTTCTTGCCATCAGTCATTTGCAGGAAGCTGGGCTGATGCCAGGGCCTGGATCCCCGCAGAGCCCACCCAGACGCTCTCCAGGCAGAAGGGCTGTGCCAGTGCCCCGGCCCTGGACACACGGCAGCTCCGTGTCCCAGGAGCACACGGACACGGCAGCGTGGCTGTCCCGCTGCTCCCAGCTGCCCGGGAGAGACACGGCTGGTGCTCAGGGCCACCATTTCTGTGAAACGACAATTCCAGAGGGAAATTGTAGGAGTTGTTTCACCCAGGCTTCCTCGGGGCGGCGAGGGAGGTGGGGGCAGTACCAGAAATCGCAGGGACGGCTCATCGGGGCTCTGAAAGGAGATGGAAACAGGAAGGGCAAGGCAACCTCAGTAACTTCATGACGTTTATTCTCCATTTGGTTTCCAGGTTCAACCAGTGCTATGGAGTCCTGGGAGTGCTGGATTATCTGCATGGAACCGATACAGTGTTCAGACAAAGCAAAGCCTACCACAGACACAGGGTCCTCCTCAGCCTCACGCCGCTCTCGGAAAGCATCCCCGAGGCACCCAGGAGAGCAGAGTGAACTAGCCCAGCAGCCTGTGTTCTTCAAGCCCAGGGACTAGCAGAGTGAGAGACAATGATTTATGCCAAATAGTATTTTAATTGGGAAACGAGTTATTATTCACACGTAATGAAACCCGAAGCTGAACTTAAAACATGCTACTTGAGATGACTGCACTTTTGCTGCCTGTTTTCTACCTAATGCACAAAAAAACTCTAGAAAGCTATTTTTAAACAAAATTTAGAGTGTGGTGTGGTTTTTTTTCTTAATTACTTGCACTGCTCCATGGTTCTAGCTGCCTGCATGTAAGCCAGGTGTACTCTGGGCCACATGGGTTTGGGGAACTCCTGGGGAGTTCTCGTTATTAAGGTTTTAACACTTCAGTTTTCACAGACCATGTTTTGGCCTCTTTCAGCAGCACTCAATAGAAATACCAGCAAGATCACTGTAACTACACGATAGGATTAAAACCATTATTTTTCTGAGATTCTGAACACCTGGGATATGGGATACAACCCCATGGAGAGTCAGGGGGGCACCACTTTAGAAACACTCCCCTGCACATGCTAGAGAGGCCCGACTTCCCCTGAGCAGTTCTTCATGGTCAGTCCAGGTCTGAATTAAGGGCTGTCAGGTCCTCATCACCGCTCCACAAACAAGTGTCTTCCAGCAGAAAGCAGGTTTCCCCCTCGTGGGACAGGGAAGCAGAGCTGGGAGCTGACGAAGCCCCTGTACCTTACCCTCCTCCTGCCGAGCCTCACCTCGCTCCCCGCACGCCAAAAGGAGGCACAAACCAAGACTCTGTATGATGATAAACTACAGAAAGAGACTTTCTGAGGTCCTGAGCTGGGTGAAGATCAGTGAAATCCTGCAAGGACCCAACAAAAAGCACCTGCACCTTTATGCACATCCATACGCACCTACACAACCAATCTCAAGCCAAGCTGCACATTTTCCCCAGGATTTTCTAAGTCTCAGTCCTGCCTGGGACCCCGGGACAAGAGCGAGGGGTCTCTCCCCGCTGCCAGACCCTGCCCTCCGAGGAGGGGACACGCAGGGCTGACCTGGGCTGCACTTACCTGCTGTCAGCCCCGCTCCACCCGCAGAAGCCAACTCCCCCCAGTCCCTGCAGCCACACAGGGATGAACCCTGTTCACCCACCTGCAGCCCCCTGGAGAGGGCAAGTCAGCAAAACAGAAAACCCAGGCTGCATTGTCTTTTGAAGTTTTTATTTTTATACATTTTTTTGTATTAAAAAGGAAAAAGCATAATTACCACAAATTACAAAGGACTAAAGCATTACTAGAATAATGAATCACATCAGCCTAGAAAGCAGATACTCTGAATAATATTAATGTTATAATACAAGCTCTCATTCAAGTATTTTACATTTTTCTCTTTTCCTTTTATATGTGATGATGATCCTAGCACATGGGTCAAAGATTACGTACTATCGACAGAAGATGGATCATGTACAGCGGGCCGTATTAACAAGATTTTCCTCCCAAGTGATACATGGTCTGTGATGAGTCATTTTAAGTTTGTCTCTACGATAAATGCAGCTGAAGAAGGTTGCACACACTTTCTAGTTTTGGAAAACAGAAGGCTGAGGTCGGGACACACAGGGTTTGAGAAGGGCCAGCACATCGAACCATCACCCCTTTTGCCCCAGGCGAACGAGCAGAGGGCCACCCCCATGGGGGTACAGCTCAGCGGGGCTCTGAGCCACAGATCCAAAGGTTTCCAACCCCAACGGGACCGGGACAGGCTGGGAGAGGAGGAGGGGGAGCGGGGCTGCACCGAGGAGGCTCGAGGGACCAAGTGGTGCCAGGCACCCCCTCCCGCGAGGGGCACCACGGCACCAGCCGGGAGCGAGCCGCAGGGGCACAGCGCGGGGACCCCGGAGTTGCCCCGAGCAGGCTCCACGGGGCGCTGGCTGGCACCCAGGGCGCTCCCCGCTCCTCCTGAGCTTCCCACCAAGGGGGTGTGCTTGTCACAGATACATCGGTCCTATGTTCAAGTGTCTGCAGAAAGTGAAACTGTAAACTACTCATTGAAACGCTGCCCTCCAGCCACCTGCTCCGTGCCACCGAAATGAACATTTTCTTAAAAAAAAAAAAAAAAAAAAGGTCATTTATCTATTACCTGTATTGGAAACTTTAAAAACAAAAAAAACCTGAAAACCAGAGTCAGCAAGGCATTTAACATCAAGTGTAGCAACCCTCTCTTAAAAAGAACCTAGCATCCATTTCAAAACAGTGACAAAGTGACATAACCAGTCTCAGAGGAGACAGGAGAAAATAAGCATTGCAAACACAGCTTGCTACATTTACAGGTTTGGTTTTTTTTTTTTTTCCTTTTGATAAAATAACTGGAAAGGCATTAACAGCTAGAAGGCCCCCTCTGCACTGCCATGCGGACCGTGTACAGACACGTGGCAGGATACTGAGGTTAACGCATCGTTTTGTTACAGTACAGTCGACCAGTCCCAAGCAAGACAAGCAGTTGCCGTAACTCGAGGGACCCCAAGGGCTACAGTGACAAGCCGCCATCAGGGGTGCGAGGGGGGCAGCAGGAAGAGGGACAGACAGGCGAACAGAGCAGCAGGATTATTACTTTTTAAATTTTTTTTGTGTCCTGTCCCCCCCCCAAATGATCATGGCAAAGCAATAAAGTCTCCTCCAAAACACACCTTTCCACCTCCACTCCTGACCCCATGCCAGAGCTCTGTACCCATTACAACCGCCTGAATCCCAAAGACGGGCTGGGCTGGGCTCGGAGCCCCAGGCTGTGGCAGCCTGGGACCTCCCGAGAAGAGGGGTGACATGGGGAACGCTCCCCCCGCGGGCCCAACGGCCTCCCCCAGCCCTTCCAAAAGCAGCCGGGGCTCACTCCAGCTGAGCGGTGGCTGGGTGCCAGCACCGTGCGGCCCTCACGAGCTGCAGGACCCCTCAGCATTCACAGGAATCCAAATGCCCAACCACTCAGACCACTAAAAAAAAAAAAAAAAAAAAAAAAAAAAAATTCATGGTGAAGCATCCAAGCTAAAAGGCGAAACTCCCTCCTCAGGAGGAGAGCAAAAGCTTCCTCAAAACTACACCCCTCTCAGGACAGCTGTCCCTTGGTCCAGCAGTGGAGCGAGCCCTGTGCGATGCTTTGGGTACGCAGCTACGAGCAAGAGGCCAAGTGCCTCCACAGACTGGTCCCCCGCCAGGCCACAGGCCAGGGGAAAGCCCCGCCATGGCCAGTCCCTCCTCAGCCTGGCACGGAGCAGGCACCCTGCAGCCCCGGCCTCCTGTGGCTCCTCCTGCCGCACAGGGGTGCGGGATGGTGCCCTGGAACCAGAGCACCCAGAGCACCCTGCCCTCTGCCACCGGCCCCGGCGCAGTGCAGAAGTGACAGGGAAGGGTCCCGTGTTCCCTCAGGCTGGAGGAACAGGCAGGAGCAAGCAATGGCTGCCTGGTCCATCTCCCCTCCGCTCCCTGGCTGCACTGCTGTCCAACAGATGGTAAAACAAGGCACACAGTCCACAAATCTGGAGGGTGGTGGGACCTCTGGGACTGCTCTTCTTCCCCTGGGAAACAGGGGGTTTCATACGGGGCTCTCAGCCACACTGATGCGACAAACCACTGACTCAGCAGAGGGCGGAGGGAAAACTCTTCTGTGCCAAGACTAGAGTCTCAGCCTTAGAAATTAAAAAAAAAAAAACAAAACAAAAAAATTTAGAATCAATTCAGATTTGGGGAAATTCTCTGGGAAATATCTTACCTCTTCTACCACCCAAGTAATTCCACAGTCTGCTCCACAAGCAATAACTCCGCAGTAGGAGTTTGTTCCTCTTAGTTTCCTATTTCATTTGTTACTAGAACACAATTGGCTTCAAAAGAGAACACACACCAACGAGAGGAGCACAGGGACACAGCAGCAAGGACCACCCGTGGCACATCCAGACCTGCTTCCACTTGCAAACCCCAGCAATGCATCTCCAACATCCTCCATCAACCCCCCATCTCCAGCCTCCGAGGCTCGTCCTTCCCAAATCAGGGGCAAACCCGGCCGCATCCTTAACTTCAGAGATCCGACTCACGAGAGAGGGGAAATCCAGAGATAACAGTCTCAGCCACAGCACTGTACAAGCATTACTTGCCCATCTTGCCCAGATACCACCCCGCAACCCCAGAGCACTGCTGCTGTGAGGGAGCAGGCCACACACTCAGCCAGGTCGGCGTGCTGGAACGGGGCCTGCGAGCGGTACCGAGCTGCAGGGTGATGTGGCAGGGGCAGACAGACCCAGCCAGGATCACACCACCAGGAAACGGCAAAGTAGCAGCTACCCAGCCTCACTCAAACCCAGCTGTGCTTTCAATTCTAGCAGCAGTTCACGAAGCTGCTCCACACGGACCAGCCCCTGTCTCTTA